CTGGTGCCTTAGCCATCACACCAAGATGGCTTTCACTGCACACTCATACCCCACTCATTGTCAAATACAAATTAAACCACATAACCAGGATTCATCTCCCAACAGGCAGCACTGAATGGCTGCATCTGGGTAGTTCTGAACAGCAAACCAAAGGAAGTGTTCACCCAACTAATATCACGTCTTGACTCTTTCGGGTCAACTTTGCATGCAAAGTGAGATTGCAAAAGGCCATATAGCTGCTGCAACCCAACAACAAAAGAAAAACAAAACTGAAAAAAAAAAAGCTTGAATTGTTCACTTTGTAGTTCTAGCTTCACATCTATTGATCGATAATTAAGACAATAGCAACAAAGTACTAAGTCAATTTTGGGCTGTTTATTCATAAAGTATGAGCAAATACAAACATTGTTTACTTTGCCATTCTGAACAGGAATGGATTTTTTTTTTCAGGGGAAGATGAACATTTCTAGTTAAAAAGTCAACTTTTCAATTTTCATTAAACAATGAAAAAAAAATCACCCATCTATGAAAAATCAAGTTTTTGTTAAAATCTCCTGGGGGAGGATTTCCTTTAACACTATCAGGAAAGTCTAGTGTTGCCATTTTCTGTCCCCCCCACCCCCGTTTTATTGTAAATTTACTTTTAGACATTCAGCAGTAAATATATAACATTTCTGTTATAAATATATAACAATATATTTACCAGTGTTTGAATAAGAGGATTTCATGGCATTTATAGTTTGCATGGGTAAGAAAATTTCACATTCAGTGTGAGTAATGATTACACAGATTAAACTCTGAATGATCTTTTTTGTCACAATAGATTTCATAATGCTAGGAAATTATAGTCCTAAATTATGCTTTGAAAAGAATTCAAATCATTCCCACTTCTTATATAGATCTTAATTTAATGTATCATTCTCTAAAAAAAATAATAAGGCAATAGGTATACATGTGTATTTCGGATGTGGGTGAGTCATAGAAATACGCTATCTCCCTTGGAATGACATTTCCTTCTCCGTGTTTTTTTTTTCTTTCTCTCCTTAATCCCATCATAGTAGGCATCTTATTTAAGAACAATACACATCAAATGAACTCCCAGCAGTCAATTCAGGATCGAGCTCCGAAACAGTCTCTAGACCAGTGGGCAGTTCAGGATGGTGTCACAACAGTTCAGCAAAGGAGACCGTATTTCTTTGAGTTAGAGAAGAGACAACACAAATGACCCACATTGCATTTTGGTGCCCTGGCAGAAATAGACAGCAGAGTAAGTACATGGTTGGCATAGAGTTGTGATGAAGCTTCGTTGCTTTATCAGTGTAAACATGCTCTGTATTCCTATCGTGATGGAAGAAGACAACACTGAAGAAAAACCACAGGAACACAGAGGAACTGTTGAAGGACAATCTTGTAACAGGCTGATCAGCTCTTCCTGCTTTGACTCACTTGGACCCTTTGGCTCCCATTCAGAACCTAGAAGGTTTTCCAAGATGCGCACTTCACATTCTCCTGTCAATATGGCTTCCTTGAAAGGATGGCAGCAGCAGGAGCTGTCAATTCCCTTTGAATGAATCAGCTCTTCTGGGAAGAAAGTTCTTAGAGCTGCCAGTAAGGAATTGCTGAACCAGAGTGTGTAATAGCAAATTGCCAAATCTCTAAAAACCTTACCTATTAAAAGCTAATGTAATAAAATAATGATCCATAATGGAACACATATAGCAATAATTTCTCACACCCAAAAGATCACAGAAATTAATTATGAAAAAGAAAGGTGTTAATAGACTGTCCTATCCAAATATGAAAACTCCCTCCCCTCCTCCAATCGCCTCTAATGAAGGAAACAAACGATTAAGTGAAGATCAGAATTAATGAAAAGTTGCAAATCTCACTTCTAAACAGCTGAGTGGCTGCAGTGCTCCCTTCAGCCATTTACTCGGACTCTGTACAGCCCTTTGAAATAACTAGTATGAGCTATAACTAGTTTTAATAACTAGTTTTCACAGCTGCTGGGTTAGATTTTGCAGATGCCACCTAAAGTCGCACAAATAGGCGGCTGAAGTTATCAAGAAATGGGAAGGCTTTAATCCATCTGGCTTTCATTCTAGTGCTTTTTTAATAGTAGACTTTTGCGAACATCTCCTTGGTGCCTGACCATAAGAATATTAAGACCCAGTTCCCAGAAGCTTGCATTTAATTTAATTTGAAATTTAATTTATTTCACCCCACGTGTTGCATATACAGGACCGAGATTCCAAAGCAGCTTTCTGGGCGGCACTGAAGAATGGTCTGGTCAGCTCTGGGAATGCTCCGAGGTGGTTTTACTTCTCATGCAGCAAAAGACTAAAGTACACCTCAACACACCTGGGATTGTTGCCACATCAAAGGCTAGATGATTTGGTTGTCAAACAGAGGGGCCCAGAGCTTTGTTTCTTTCAGTGAAAACATTGTTTGCAAAGTGCATGAAATTCCCCTTGTGCTGGTGTTGCAGTCCGCACATGGAAAAGCAAGTATTTAGACAAACTCTCCACAGTGTAAAGGACTGATCACCAAGAACGTCAGCAGCCTCTGCCTAAAGCACAAAGGCACTGGAGACAGAAGAATCTTAGTGTCAATAGCCTTCCCTGTGAATTAGGGAGCATTAGCGTAGACTAGGAAAAAATGGTACGCTCAAACAGACACTGCACGGTAATAGCTCTGATTACTTTTCACCCACTGCTTCCTTCAATTTTCTTCCTTTCAGGAGCATATGCAACTGATTTAAGAATGGTTGTTCTTATTTTTGAAAGACTATCATTTTTCTCATTTGGGTCCCTGGGAAGAAAGAATTGCAATAGAGTACATAAAAATATCCCTGTCCTGAAACATGCCATGATTTCTGGTATATGAAGAAAAAATAAGTAAGAAGAATGAAAACCCACTACAGTATTTAAGTGACTGAAAAATCCACCTGGATCCCATCATGGCAAAAAAATAAAAAAATCAAGCAAAATAACAGGATAATGAACACTTAATTTGCAGTTACTGCTGCAAAATGAATTCTTGGGAAAAAATAAAATTGGAACTCTGTCTGAAACAATGCTTTACTCTGGCCTTGATCCAACAATTTCTTACAGACCTCAAGTGTTAATTAGTTAATAACAAGTATCCCAATTATTACAGATCTGCACAAGCAGCAGCTTCTGCTGGTGAAATTTACACAGTTTGCTCTCACAGGAACTTGACATACCTTCCTACAAGGGGCCTAGCCTGGGTTGGGAGCCTGTAGCAATCTGACTGCCTGATCACTCTTTCTTTCATCATTAGCCAACGGAAAGATCCGTAGAGGACGTCCTATCTAAATCACTAAATCATATCTGTCCCATGCACTCAGCCAGGGTTTTTCACAGCTTAGGCACTAATGCTTGTTTTATGACTTCTGATTCTGTAAGGTAGAAGGAGACGCTGGTGTCAGCCCTGGACCATTTTCTTACTTAAAACAGCATCCTGAGTCATTTTAGAGTCACTTATCAGTCTGGGTTTCTTGTTTGGATATAGGGTCTGGACTGTGCCACCTTTCAGATAATTCTTCCAATAGACAATTATGAAGGTACTACCAGCAGCTGCCCATACGGTGTTGAATGCTAGTCAACCTGAATTGGAAACCAATGGCTTACAGCACGGACAATCCAGCAACAGCAAACAGATCAGAATGCATGCAGGAACTGGCTTACATTCTTATCAGATGTTATATATTGCGGCCATCTTCACTGCCTAGCACCAAGAGTTTATACATTAGATGATGAGAAGGTATCATTAATGAGAGACTCATCTAGCCCAAAATGACACGACTAGACGCACCAGTCTAACGCAGCGTAAAAGATAACCTTTCCAAGCTGGACTGGATTGTTTCAAAATGCTACAGACCCCCGTTTATTTTAATTGGAGCAGAATAATTCCTTTATTGCTCCAATAATAGTGAACAATGGCAACTACTGATGTACACTGTATTTCTTTCTTGGCTGGAAGACACTTTGCCGTAGGCGTTCTGGGTTAGGCTACACTATGGAGACATTCTTTAGAGACATACTGAAATCAATATTCTTCTCTTTGTTCAAGTGAATAAAAAATTATAAAAAATAAAATCAGCATTAGCACAAAGCTTGGTAATTTCAACAAGGGCAAGAGGGCCACCAGTCCAATGGTGTCTTAAGACTCTCCTGGAATCAAAGCAAGAAGAGAAAAGTTTTTGTTCCCCTCACAATCTTCCATGGCTCTTGTTTCACTCTCTTCATATTGTCCAGGAGAATAAACCATCTTCTGTATATCCAAAGCCCATGCTTCATGTATTCAAACTTAAAAGTCTTACTACCTTGCCTCAGAAATGTTTCAAAACATTTCTCTTGTGTGAAATTATCCCATTTGTTTTATAAATCTGACAGGATTTTTTTCCTATTAAAGGTTGCTTGCATATATTTCGCCACGTCACAGAAAATGCTGATGATACGGATTGATCCTGAAGCTTAAAAGCCAAATTCTGGAATATGTTGTTCCACAAGCCTGTCTGATGGATGATATTCCTAATGCTATTAACCTGTAGGCATATGAAGAATAAGAAGTCTCAGCGCTTTGCTAGGATTTCTCTTCCAATGTCCACAGAACTTCTGAAGTTGTACTGGGTAGTCGTTATCATTCCACACAAATTTAGCACATTAGGGTTGGTTCCAGGATTATCTTGGTATTGGATACCAAAGGAACATCTCAAAGTGTGATATCCATAATAGTATCTGCTATCTCTAGTTGAATACTCCTCAAATATCCTAGGTCACCCATTATCCATAAGCAGAAGATCCACTTAAGGAGATGTGCTACTTGAAAATAAGACCACCGATAAGAGAGAAAATAAAAGGCCCACTTATAATATTTACATCTATAGATTGGGCCAATATTTGGTCCATAAACTCAATTTTAAAAATAAAAATCATATAGGAAGTAATCCAGTTCTTAGGCAGATCTATCCATCATCAGCTATTAGTAAAGGTCCTTCCAGGAGAGGCCTCGGGCCTGTAATCGTATTTATTCAGTGTACTGGGATAATAGGTTGTTGTGTACACATTTGTTTGTTGCAAAGGATAGAAGTTGGTCCTGTCATCTGGTATTAAATTGTTCTTGTTCAGTGTCTGTAAAAGAAGAACAAAATAATTTTAGATGTAGTCTCATCCTCCTTTTCTCTGTGTCTCTTCTTGTCTCCTCTGTTCTCTAGTACCACATCCTGTTATAAACTTCCCTCTGACTAAGCTGTGCTTCTCTGTACAAACTTTCTGTTGGTTGGGATACAATGCCTCTGGCTCTGGAGAAATTGAACCCTACCACTGTTATAAAACCAACACCCACAGATGTTTTCCTTTTTGGAAGCTGATTCTCTAGCATCACTTTGTAAACTGTTGAAGATAAATAGAAAAATTGGGCAATTGTACTCCAATACCTCTTAATCTGGCTCTTAATCTGTTTCTTACCTGCTCTCTCCATAAAACACATCACTGCTCTCTTTCCTTCAGAAAAACACACGAGCAATTAACTTCTCATCCCAAGCAGTACTTGATAGAAAGAATAGCATAACAAAGGACAAACTTTAAATCCGAGAATCAAAATATATATACCGTACATATATATTTTTAACATCAGTAAATATAAAACAAATAGAAATTAGAAAGTTTAAACAGTATTGTATTACACTTATGAAGAAACATTATGGGTGGAATAAAGAAAGTTAGGATTAGTCGGAAATAGGCCAAACCTTATCTAAGCTATGGACCAGATTACTCTTCCAAGTTTAAGGAGTTTTTCAGAACATTCTAGCTCAAAAGCCAAATTAAAATCTCCTATTTATAATCCTACTGTGACAGGAACACACCTGTCCTCAAACCATCCGATGGCAACCGCTCAAGCTTTAAAACAAGCCTATTTACTCTTTCCTGATTACTGGCTCTTGTGCTTAACTCGATCTCTGTTCAGATAATACAACAGAGATCCAAATCCGGATGTAAGACCCATTTCGGTGTGGTTGAGAAATTGGAAAACATTTTGGGTACCTAGGCCCATTTAGAATTTGGAGGTCATCTGTGGGCAATTTTACAAAATTACTGCAAAGATGGGTGTGGTAAGCTACAGAGTGCTCATTTATCACATTTCCCATTTTATTCTGCTACTCACACACCCACCCTCCGCCCCAACAAGTGGCTATAAGCCCACACTTCACAGCAGGTATTCTATCAATCAATAAAGTGGCTGAACCCAGTGAAAGGTTGTTCGCTATTATTCTGCAGAGCATGAGGCAACCCACACTCAAAACCTTAAGTAGCAGCATCCACTGATATTAAAAATGTGACAATACCTAACCGGGCTTGCCGCAGCTGCCATAAGGCTAATGACACCTCTGCAAGATGTATCACTGCTCTGCCAGAGTAATTTCGTTGCACGGGGACCACACCTTCCCAGCATGGCTGATTGCTCAATGAATTAAAGGGGGTTGGGGGAAGGCACTAATGGCATTCGACTAAGCTGTACTGCTAACTCCTTGCTTTCCCTCCCTAGCTGACATGATATAAATCAAAAGCCCCTGGAAGGGATATTTAGCGTTGCAAGATGAGAGCATAGACAGAATGCAGCTTCTGTTCCCCCAGAGACTTTCCAACTTGTCACCAGATCAGCCTCTGTCCCTTTTCAGATCAGCCTCTGTCCCTTGACAACATCTGCTTGGCCATTTGATCTGTCAATGCTTTCTAAATTGGGTGGAGGGAATCCTTTGCTCCAAATGCAACTCATGAGTAGCAAAACAGTCTGGATTGCTTAGAGCAGTGGTGGCGAACCTATGGCACACGTGCCAGAGGCGGCACTCGGAGCCCTCTCTGTTGCCCCAGCCCCATCTCCCCCCATGGCCCCCTACTCACTAGCAGCCCCACTGGAGGAGAGTGATCCCCAGGCACAGCCCGCATGGAGCAGCGCAGCCAAGGACATAGCCAGGCAGCAGGGACAAGACTCTGCCCTCATGCCCCATAGTGTGCCATGGCACTGCAGGGCTGCCTGGGAAATCTGCTGTGGCAGGCCATGGAGGCGGTGCGTGGTCCTGCGGGTGGGCGGGGCAGAGCAGGCAGGGCAGGGGGGCAGTTTTTGGGCACTCGGTCTCTAAAGGTTTCGCCATCACTGGCTTAGAGGGTGGTGCAAAAATGGTGTCAAAGAGAAACAGATGCTAGCTTTCCAAACTGCTGCAATTCATCAGCTTTTGACTAATGGCCGAATCGGGTACAATCTCCCTGTTGATGCCTTCATGGATCATCTTGGCGTACTACAAAGAGATGACTACTTCTACACCAAAGCCAGGCGTAAAGGAAGCAAGAAAAGAAAGGCAGTGAGAATGGAAAGAGCAAGCTAAAAGAAAGGAAAGTGTTAGTTAGATGGGCAAAACAAATATCTACAAATATGTGCCTGGCTCAGCCACATACCTCTGGAAATGGAAAATCTCCTTTGCTATCTCTATCATGCAAAATGAGGGGCAATAAATGTTATTTTCAGGAGCTGCCAAAATGACTATTTGCCAGGAGCAAGACATTGTAAAGCAATGTTTGAAACATCACACCCTTTTTCTATTCTTATTTCTTGTTTCCCAGCTGAAAAATCCACTATTTTTCTTCCCCCTAAAATTTCAACTCCTCCCCCCCCCATAGAAATACATAAACAAAAAACCAGAGGTTGTTTTTTGGTCCATGGCACTGATATCTGCCAACAGCAAAATCTTTCTTAATGGGGAAAGAAGTCCCAAGGTCCATACTGTGCTAATCAGATGAAAACAGGTCTCGTATTGTTAAAGATGGGAAGGCTACCTTACAGAGACATTAACATTACTCCTATGCCTAAGGATGTCATTTCTATGAACGTCATAAATCTGGGTTTCATTGACAGACAAGCCTTTCTTCTGCTTAACTCTGCCTGATTCAGTCACTGACATTTCCTGCACTTAAGTCTTCCCAGATTGCAATTTTTAAAACTCAGTCATAATAATAATAATAAAGTTGGAAGGGACCTTGGAAGTCATCTAGTCCAACCCCCTGTTCAGGCAGGAAACCCTATACCATTTCAGACACATGGCTGTCCAGTCTCTTCTTAAAAACTTCCAGTGTTGGAGCATTCACTGCTTCTGGAGGCAGGTTGTTCCACTGGTTAATTGTTCTCACTGTCAGGAAGTTTCTCCTTAGTTCTAGGCTGCTTCTCTCCTTGATTAGTTTCCATCCGTTGCTTCTTGTCCTGCCTTCAGGTGCCTTGGAAAATAGCTGGCAGCCCCTGAGATATTGGAACACTGCTATCATGTCCCCCCTCGTCCTTCTCTTCATTAAACTAGACATACCCAATTCCAGCAGCCTTTCCTTATATGCTTTAGCCTCCAGTCCCCTAATCATCTTTGTTGCTCTTCTCTGTACTCTTTCTAGAGTCTCAATATCTTTTTTACATCGTGGTGACCAAAACTGGATGCAGTATTCCAAGTGTGGCCTTACCAAGGCATTGTAGAGTGGTTTCTAAGCTCAGCTCTTTCTTTTTTTTTCTAAATAAGTGGCTAGCATCGGGGGCATCCCTAAAGCTTGGAAGCGACTACCGTCTTCCTTGAATTCTTCTTAATTGAATTGTTTCTCTCTTTGGCCAATCTCATTACAGACCTAGAGAATGATTAATTTTTCCTTTACACATTCTGAGCAACTCCAAGAATGTTCCATCTGTGGCCAGCACTAATGGGTGTGATTTTTTTTTAAAAACACTGATGTATCCATTGCATATTCCCTTTTTTTATACCACCTATAAACCAGCAACCATGACTAAATTATATGGTCTGTGAAAAAGTACTTGCACTGAATATTTCAAATTTGGCTAATACATATTTAACTGCCTCGAGAGTGCTTTAGAGTTGTGCTGATCATGCAGAAAGTCAACCTTTTCCTTCATCTTAGATTGTGGAAAGCCAATGTTTTGGATGTGGAAAAAATGCACCTTCCCTTTAATGTTTTCCAGCAACTGATGCTCAAAGAAAGATTGCCTCCAACACTAAATACAAAATCTAAGCCCAATGATTCAGGTTTAAGATTCATTAATCCTCTGAACAGCTTTCAATATTTTATCTCAGTTTCAGTTATTCCACATAGCCATCTTAGGTAGCGAAAACAGAGACAGAATTATGAGAGTGCCAATTTTTTCAAATCTGAAATACTCCTGGGTACAAGAAAACTATTTTGACTGTGTAACATGTTACTTTAAAACATTTCGAATATGATTAAAATAGTCCACCTCTCCCCATGAAATGGCTGTTGTTCATTCTAAATGTGTGTGTTTGTGTGTGCGTGTGTTGAACTGACAATGGGATGTTTTGAAAGCAAGTTACCTGCTTGAGTCTTCTTGGAAACATAGGACTAACTATTGTTAGACAGACATTATGGATTAGATGGATCTTGGGTTGAGGGAGCACTGCTCACTCATACTCATTCAAGTGTCTTGTACTCTCGGTAATGTGGTCACTTTAGCCTACTACAACCTACCTCATCTGGCCTGTTTTCCAATATTTCAGAAATGAAATTTTTCTAAACCTGCAACTATGAAAGCTTTCAAGTGCCAATGCCAGAGCCTGAACCTTTGACATCTGCACCCAAAGTACATAGTTATCATGGAGCAATCAGCACAGATCCTGTTGATCCTACTGGAGTTTTAGCATTTTGAACATTCTTAGTGGAGACCCAGATTATATCAAGAGATCCACACAACAATTTGGTATTTTTTAAAATTAAAATCAGTCTGCCACCTCACCAATGTGAGGTTGGCCCCAACTCTTCTATCCTTTTGTAATGACCTAAAGACATGGCTTGTTAGCTGGTCTGGGGCTCCCATCCCCATACAGTGGAGATGGTTGATCAAGTAACAACAGATCCCACCTTTCCCCGCCCTCCCCATGTGTCCTTAGATTTTAAATGTTTTTATTTTATTTTATTTATGTTTTAACGTATATATATGACTGTAAGCTGCCCAGAATTACCCTATGGCAAAATTGGCGGCCAATAAATTTTATTAAAAAATTATAATAGTCATGATTAACGGGTGGGTTATAACATAAATTATGTACATGAGCCTTTTGGAAGTTGCTTTT